TTATTTCAAAATGCATATATATAAAACCTAAAAAAATTATTTCCTTTCACATCCTCCATGTGCAAAATTTGATAAGGCTTAGCAACCTATGGCAAGCAGCAAACGAGTACAAAGTTTGTAACTAGAAGAGATAATTGTTTACTATACTTCTTTATTTAATATTCTAAGTTTTAAGAAAAATAAGTTTAAGAACTTATTTGTAAATAGTAATAATATATATACATATATAATGTATTATAACTAAATGTGACTATATTATACAAAATACTAGTCCACTAAAACACAGCCAAGACAGATTCACTTTGTAAAGGCCAGTTTTATATCCTTGGATATGGTAACATGTGCACTTGTACCGCATCCTTGTAACTCCTGTAATATTAGCCAGGCACAGATGAAAGGTCAATATAATAAAAATAAATAAATAAATATAGATGTATAATGTTTTGAGATTTAAGCTATTTAGACTAAACACTTGTGTTTTCATGTTATAATTTGTAGTAATTCTAAAACAAAAAAAGCACAATTTATATTTATTTCTTACTTTTTTATGGTGGTTACGAGGTCAGTCAAATCGACCCAACTCGTACAGAGATACAGTAGTGAAAATAAAGAGACAAAATTCCGACCTCCTAACCACTTTGTACTTGTTATAGTTTTCATGCCATAACTTTTAAATTAGTAAGTGTATCTTCACAAAATTTTGCATATTATCAGTAAATATTACAAGGCATTTGTACATAAAATATCATCTTTATTTATATTAAGTTTAAGATTTCTTAAGTAATGTTTTCTCATGTCTTTTTTTTCTTGAATGCGGACTATCCAACATGCAAAGTAATTTTGATTTTAAGATTAAAAATACTTTTATGCATTAAAAAATTTTCAAATTTCACATGCAAAATCTTTATAACCTCCAGATAATTATCAAACTTTTTTTTTAGAAAAACTCAAAGATTTGTCTATATTTGTGGTCCAACTGCCCTGGCCACCAACATGGGATGTGGGTACCATGATCCCTTAAATCCAGCCTCGAGTCGTGGATCCTCAGCTGCATGGTTGGGGCTGGCCCATCATACTTACTTGGGTAATATTCCACCCTTTTCACTTTTCTTAAGTTCTGGGTGACAAGCATACCTGTTCTGGGAGGTATGTATGTTTCGGAAGTTATCATTTTTCTAATCTGAAAATGTATTTCCAAACATACTTATCTCCTCTGACACTCTCCCTCCCTTCCTTCCCACTAAGAGCCAGTGTTTCTGACTGGGATGGATAAGTCTTGAAAAAGTTATTATATTGTCTTCATACAGTGCTTGTATACAGTACCTGCATAGCAGGCCGGTGTAAAGTTTTGCAAATTAGAATTTGCCAAGGGCAGTCAAGTGGGGTATAAAAGACTGGAGCAAGCGAACACAATGTTTAGATGGCAAAAATGTAGATAAAGAAATAGCTATAAGTGTCAGCAGAGGTAAGTATGTTTGGAAATACATTTTCAGATTAGGAAAATGATAACTTTCATATTTGGTGGCCGTGTAAAAAATCTATTATTTGTTTCAGATATGAAAACAACAACATTGTGGTTTCAAAACTTGATGAAAATGACAACAGGCCTATTCCCAATCCTGTTTGGAAATTTGAACAGGGATTTGAACATTTTCGTAAGTTTTTATAACTGTGATGTGATTTAAAATGTTTCAAAATTTTAATGTATTTTAGCACTTTTTTATATGTTAGAATACCTTTATTAGATTGAGAGTAAGTAGATATACTTCTTAATTAACTTAAAGTGTATCTGTTCTTGAATATGTTAACATTAAAAATATTTTGAGTATCTTATCTAGATGTACATAGCATTTTAAATTTATTTTAAATGTGATACCTTCTTGAAAAAGAAATCATTAAAGCAATGATCAAAATACCTTGCACGGAAATAATTAAACATGACTTAAGTGAGTTATGTTAATAGTAGGATGAAACTACATTAGAACTAATTTCAAGATAATTTACTAAAATAATTCAATTTAATGATTTTATTTCCTTAGTCAGCTGTTATAATGCTTCTTTAGTTTTACCAGAAAAATTTATTGGGGAACTTTGGAGATATTTACTTTTATTGATGATGTATTATGATATGAAGATTAACTATTAAGTTTTCAAAACTTGTTACTTGTAGTTTAGTTTCTTTTATGCTTATATAATTGTACCAGTCATAATTGTTTTGCTTGCTGTCTATTTTCTAGCTGAAATCTTAGATGAAATAAACAAGCAGGGATTTGAGCATCCTTCACCTGTGCAGGTAATCTCAAAATAGAAATAGTAAAACCTTTTCAAAGTTATATCTTTATTTGTAGCAAGCAGAAATAGATATAAAGTTTCTATATAAAATTGATATGAAGTTTAGGAAGTAAAAAGTATAGTGCATATAAAGAAATACATATAGATCAGTTCTTTGTATGAAATTTTCATACAAAGGTTGTATTTTCTTAGATGATTTTATTTTTCAGTGTCAGTCTTGGCCAATCCTACTTCAAGGTTATGACATGATTGGAATTGCTCAAGTAAGTATGCTTGTTAAAATGACATTTCTTGTGACTGCATGTCCTAGATTTAAAGTATACTGATCAAGTTATACCAAACATTTTATAATTTTTTAGCCATAATTTCTCATTACTTAGTAAGGTTTTAAATGTTTGTAAAGTGCATTTACTAAATAGAAAACTATTTAAGATTTTAATGGTGCATTAACAAAATCTAAACCTAATTGAATTTGAAAACTGTGTATCAGTTGATATGGTACCTGACTGTATGCATCAGCTTAAAAAACAATGTTATGTGGCTGTATGCATCAGCTTCAAGAACTCTGTGTGTTAACTGGCTGTATAAGTTTGTTTCCCCAGCTCAGTATTTGTTTTGGCTGGTTGTATACATTAACTTCCACTGCCTACTACATCACAGGGATGGACACATTAGCGAGTGCTTATTCATGTCTTACATAGCAGTTGTTACTAGTACTGTATATACGTACGGTATATACTAACTATATCATTTCTCTGAAACTACTGAGCACTGTGATCTGCCACAACTTGGTTTATTATTTACTTTGTTCTATTTTGTGAATTCAAGATTTAAGTGTGTAGATTTATCTGCCAGACAAATAAATTCAGTGAATATTTCTTTGTGGTTGTGTTTTTAATGTTGACAGATAGAGGTTTAGTGTTGAGTTTATTGAGTATATGTTGTTTTTTAGACAGGCACAGGAAAAACTATAGCATTTCTTCTTCCTGCTTTTATTCATATAGACAATCAAGTCATGTAAGTTTTATTATTGTTTTTACATTAATTGGTAGAATACATTATATCTATTTTCTTTTATTAATTTTATATATAGTTTATGTAACTTTTGGTGCACTATCATATAATAATTCAATGCAAAAAAAGCTACATATTTTTTTCTGTTAGAAATAAGGAAAACAAATTTGACTATTTGATTTTGAACATTTATCGCTTTTAGGAGAAAAGTAACTAATGCAAGACTTAAATTTTTTTTGTTGCTTCATTACTGAGTTTGTAGTATCAATATGTGAACTTGTGTATAGGAAGACAGCTATTTTTTTATCAATATTTTTTATATAATTTTTACTCATTCTAAAATGATTTGTGAACAAAACCTTGCCTTTTCAACTTCTTTTGGAATATAATAACTGTTGTACATAATTTTCTCATATAAAACTAATTTTTCTGTACAGCTTATCATTTCATTAGTCAAAATCTAACAAAACTTTAACTCATAACTATTGACCTGGCCAGGTGGTTAAGGTGCTCAACTTGCAATTTTTGGTTGGTAGATTTGAATCTCTGTCCCACCAAACATGCTTCCCCTTTCACTTGTGGGGGTGTTATAATGTGATGGTCAATCCTATTGTTCATTGGTAAAAGAGTAGCCCAAGAGGTGTTGGTGTGTGATACAGACTAGCTGCCTTACCTATCTTTTACTGCTAAATTAAGGACGGCTAGTGCAGATAACCCTCGTGTAGTTTTGTACGAAATTCAAAACAACCCAAATCATAATTATTGATCCCCAGATGGTTCAACATTAAGTTTGAGGGCTAACAATAGTAAAATGTGGGGTTCTATTTCCCATAGTGCATGCAGCACAGATAGCTATCATACGATGTTTTATTAAATAATTTTATGTTTTCGAAATGGTGTATTTAAGTGTTTTACACTCACAAAGAATAAACTTATCATTCTATAGGTATTTGAAGAACTTGTAGCATCCCACCACAATTTAATTCTTGGTATTGTTAGTCGACACTAGGCAGCTGGTACATAATTGCATAGAGTTGTTTAAACATTTGTTTAACAACAAGTAAAAGCTTGGAATAACAACAAGTTAAAGCTTGGAATGGTCTATTCTTTCATTGTGGGTATGTCTGTGGGCCAGACTAGTTTTAGAGAATTCCTCTCCTCCTCAGTGACCCTGGACACTACCAATGAAACTTCAGACCAGTCTGTACCCCAAATGAAAGAATAGACCATTCCAAGCTTTTACTTGCTGTTAAACAAATGTTTAAACAACTCTATGCAATTATGTACCAGCTGCCTACTCAAATTTTGTTTTTGAGTAAAACTATTTTATCTTCTATTTTCTCTACACTTAAATTATATGTGCTCAGTCCAGTTTATCAGCCTTTTTTTCTAGAATGATTTCAGATTGTAACAAAAAATTACAATTATTTATCCTAAATAGCCTCAGGTTTGTAACAATTTACATACATTTTCATTTAATTTTATTGTTATATTGCCCTTTGAACTGTATCTATCTAATAAACATGCATAACAAAGCTGGAAACACCTGGTTGCAAATAGCTCAATTTACGGTAAAACACAGTTTGAATTACGTAATGCACATGCAGTTCACTTGCATATTTCACCAAGAAATTTTTGTTTTAAATATTTTTTCATATATATATTTTCTTATTTAACTTAATAGGTTTCTAATTTTTATATTTTAGTTATTTTTATAGCAATAAATAAAAATATACATAAAAAAACAAGAAATTTTTGCTCTTACTTTTTGCATATAAAGAAGTACAGGATGAAAATTTATTTGAATAAATCCTTTTGAAATAAAAAAAATAAAATTTATATTAAGATTTGGTTTGTTAGCCGTGTTTTGATGCCAAGTTTATTTATATGCACTGATATTTAAGTAGTTTAATTAAATTTTGAATAATTCTGTAAAAAAAAAAAAAGGTCATGACATGCATACTTTTATCTACACATATACAGAGGGTTAAACACTTTATGTGCATATACAGTTTAAAGAAAAATTACCTTGCAAATAAATCAGCATCTTCATCATCATTGTGTCATTATTTCTGGGCAACTTAATTTAGAAAACAGATTTTACAGGATTATATCTTAAAAGTGATCTTTTATACATTTATATATATTAACTCCAATGTTTTACAATTTAAAGCAAAAATATATCATACCTATTCTAGGCTCAATATGTTGACTGAGTACTCCTAATGTAAAACAATTTTATATAGAAGGTTCACACTTTTTCTTTTTTTCAGAATTAGGAAATTATGAAGACTTTTAAATAATTAAAATTTATGATCTATAGAATATGGGAAAAATAATTCAAATGGCAAAATATCATTTGTAAAGTAGTCTTATAATTCCAAACACTTATGGAATGAATGTGGATTTTCTTTTTACTTTTACATGGATAATCTTTTACCTGTCAGTCATGTGTACAAGGTGAATCTTGTATAGCTATTGAACTATAAACAAGCAGACCTAATCCTCTTTTTAATATTTAGTGACTCAATAATATTACCTCACATTTACTCAAAATTACCAACACATTCATAAACTCAGACCTTCTTTTAAACTCCTAAGCATCCTCACAAAGTTGAGTTTGCATATATATCTTACATTTTTCAGTAAAATTGATTTCAGCACATTTAGTTCATAATTTTATGTATGTCAAATCAGTGTTGCAACATTAATGGTCACACTCATAATTAAAATATATTGTCATTTAACTTCATCATGAACATTAAGTTTACCTAAGATTTATTTTGACAATAGCTATTGCATAATGTTATTTACTGAAAGAAAATTTTTAACAATTTCCAATTATATCGGGGATTAAAATTTCACGCTGATTGGTTATTCCCACTTTTTTTTAGACATGCTACTGGGCAGCTACAAGATTGATGCAAACTCAATGAAAAAAAAAAAAAATTGCAAACAAAATTTTTACATATGCTACAGAAAACCCTTTGTTACTACTCCTAGAAGTAAACAGTGGAGTCTGAAAATCTGCTTGACCAATGACAAATAGTCCTTATAAATCAAGTTCAGCTCTGCTTAACAGGTCGGTGCCATTTTAGAACTAACACGTTTTGTTAATCTTGTTCGCTTTGAGATGAAAATACTACTGAAAGTCAGAGGTGTTGCTAGGTGCTTAAAAGAATCGGGGCTCGGGCCCAGAACTCGGAATTTTTGTTATTTCAGCATGATATTGATCATGGTTTTCTATTCTGATTCTTCAAGAACACAAAATGGATTTGGGGCACTGTTAAGTAGACTCCTTTGCCAGTGCCTAGCAACTCCTCTGCTGTAAGTTGAGAATGAAAATGCACACAGTGTGAGAGATTGGAAGTGTTTCCAGGAGAAATTCTGTTGGTTGTTGTTTGACAAAGTAGTAACACTTGAGTTCAAAAATAACAGTGGGAAAATAAAAACATGGCATGTAAACACTGTGACATTTTTCTTGAAAGAAGACTGTCCAAAAAATAATTAAATGTCCTGTTGTGGAAGTTTAACATATTTGTACTGTTATTAGTGCACAAATATTGGAGATGTACAATATAGAGTCAGTAATGTTAACATTACATTAATTCTGCATGAGTTGTTTAAATATTAAGCTAAGATGTTGTAGATTTTCTTTTAAAATAACCCATTTTCTACACTCCTTCACCCATTTCTCCAGACTTGTTCCAACTGTGAACTTGTCTGTATATGCTAGTAACTTTCAGATTTTTTCAGCCTAACTTGTTCTATACATATGCACATGAGAAGAATCATAAAAATACTCTTCCAGTACATGCAACTGGCAGAAATGTTACTATTGTAAGGAGGTAACATTGCTTTCTGACAACACTAATCATGCTGTTACTTATCCTCTGTATTATGTAAAACAATGTTTACTTTCATGACTTAAACTGGTTGTATTATATGTGAATGTATGATTAGGATTAATCATGTAACATGAATGTGGTTAATAGGAATGACTTGCAGCTAAGGGTTCATGGCTCAAACTTGTCTGGTTGTGCTGTATGTGAATGTAAGATTAGATTGAATCTTGTTACATGAATGTGGCTGATAGGGATGACTTGCAGCTGAGGATTCATGGCTCAAGCTCATCTCATGCGATGTATGTGAATATAAAATTCAGCTTAATCTTGTAACATGATTATGTTTAATAGGGATGAATTGTAGCTGAGGATTCACGAGCATCTAGTAATACTTAACCTAAAAACCAGCTTAAAATTTAGCCTGGTTTACACTGTTCACCTAAAATTTTAAAATGTTCTAAAAATTTGGTTTGATTTTAAGTTGGTTGCATTACATCTTACTTAAAGAGTGACTCCTTTTCCCTCTATTTTAAGATTCTAAAAGGATTGTAGCAAATTATGAAAAAGCAAAATTGACTAGTTTTAATTTAGTTATTATTTTTTTATTTAAACTAACAGTGATTGTCATGATTTTTCAAATTATGATATTTTTTTTTGTTAATCTGTATGTTGCAAAATGTACATATCATTTTCTTTAATGTATTTAAAGGAAAAAGAAATATGACTAAGTAAATCTTGCAGACATCTAAATTATGTAAGCATGAAAATGTTTGTTTGTGTACAGTAAATAGTAGACATAATGTAACTATTAGTGTGTTCGTATGATCTTGTTATATAAACATCACCTCGTTTTTCTTAGCATTGTTAGTGTGGTTCATGTTATTAAGTACGTTCCCTTCTAAAAATCAGACAGACATTATACAGTAACTGCTGCTCTATACTTGTATTTTTTCTTTGTTCAAAGTATTTTCTGTGAACATCCAACTCATGTAAACCTCTTCGTCTTATTTTGTGTAAACCAAGACAGATATGGTAATTAATGAAACTGCTGTACAATCAGTGCTATATCTAAAGCACTTTTCACTTTGTTTTCTGTACACTGGTACACTTTAAGAGTAAATAAATTTATTATATATGTACACACAGTGTCACATCTTCAGTGGTTATAGTTATCCTAAGATATATATATATATATATAGATGTGCATTGAGTATTCATCCCATTAAGTTTTCATTTTGACATAACATTTGCTATTTTCTAGAAAAAATATCAGACAAATTGTAGTGCACTCTTTGTGGTAGGACAAAGGGTGCCAAGACTAGTTTTGCAGTGGGCCAGTTATGTCTAATCTCCAGGCATGTACATAAAGATAAATAAAAGTAACTATTTTTCACCTTCATAGACTCTTGAGTAAGTGAGGCTACTAAGAATCTTATCTATGAAAACAGTATAGTTTGTTTTCGTAAAGGTAATAATGTGTAGATACAATTTACTTATGACTGACCTAACACACTCGTCTTACAAAACTAATATCTGCCCCTTTTTTAATTTGCTTCCAATGTTTTGGTGGCATTTGTGAGACAGGGGAGGAAAGCAAGTGGTGAGAGGAAGACAACTTTAATACAATTAAAGATATATTTGGCAAAGCCTTTCATTTGTTTTAATGTTACTCTTGGTCATCTTATTCCGTTGGTTGTTAACTCAGATAGTTAACTCAGCATTATATGCATGTATGTCTGGATTTTTTTGTATTGTCACCAAGCATTTTAGTTGATTATATTCTTGGTAGCTTCCATTACATGATGCAAAATATATCTTATGTAAATAAAAATCCCAATTCTGACCAATCACAAGAATGCAGGTTCAGTATGATGTCATCAATTGCTCTGCTGGAAATAAAGGTGAGGGGAAGGAAACATGTGCAAACAAGTATTATCCAGACATCCTTAAGTATTTGATGAAGATCCCTTCTTAACAAGAAATTATGCAATACTGAAGTGACAGTTAGAACTTTTTCACCCTGAGACTTGAAGAAAGTAGAGTGGCATGACTGTATAAATGAGTATTTATAGGCAAAATTCTTCAGTAGAATGTATTGATTCTCTTATAAACTTTTCTGTGCCTTTGAAAAAAAATTCCAACAAAAATTTTGGATTATTTTTATAAACATAATAAACATTACATTTTTCTTAATGAAATGTGAAAGTAGATGGTAAGGCTAACTCTCAAGGAAGGTGAGATTTTCAGTTGACAAGTATTGTCAATCAGAAATGTTTATGAAGTAGTTGAATGTTTGCATGAATTTATATTTTGTTAGACATTTTCAGATGAAGTAAGTTACTGTTTCTTATGGGACAAGAACTGTACTTTTTAAGTGATTCATTCATTAATCCTTATAGTATATAATGCCTTCACTGGCAAAGTGTGATCTGTATGTTGTTAGTTTATGTGATTTAAATAGTATTATGACTGATGATTTGTATATTGTAAGCCAGCGAACCTGATGGGTCCTAGTATTGAGTGAAAGACCTTGTCTTTCTTCCCAACAATACACAACACAGTTTATGTAATTTTTGCTAATGTGTGAATCTTATGTACAATTGTTAACAATTACCTTACATCTTTAGCATGCTTCCTTTACTTCATTTTAAGTGCTGAAATGGTCAATGACTGCTATTTGATTAGTTGCCCTTTAAAAATCAACCGAATATTTGACATAAAATTGGTATACCTGGTAGATAGAGCATTAATGTATACATCTGTTTGGAACATCAGATGTGTATTCTGATGTATTCTAATTGGATAGGTAATGGTTAGTATTAAAATTAAGGATAGAATATGATTGGAAGACACCATATGGTAGACACACACTGGCAGACTTATTTGGGTTGCTTTCATTTATTTTACTAACTAAGAGAAGTAAATTTTCAAGTAATATGATAAATTTGTGATTAAATATGTGATAATTACTCTGTATACATTATTAACACTGGCACCATGTCATCACATGTTAACTGTTAACTTAACCATGTTAGTACATGTTTTAGCTGTAGTCTAAACGGAAATTTATCTTGCCTATAGTCATCGGGACAGAGAATTATGCTGCTGTTTTAATATGAAAAACCAGTAAATAAACTAATATTATTATTTGTCACATGCAAAGACAAAAAACTTGTAATATCAAAAAAAGATCTTCGCTAATGAGCCAGAGTATATTTTTTTACAACTAGTTGACTTGCAATTTTGTAGTTAACTAGTGGGTCTTTACTTGTCGCAATTGACTAGGCCACTAATTGTTTCTTTACTACTAAATTCATAGTAGACTCTTCCCTTATTGATGCATGTCATTCATCACTTTCAACATTCCTTGCATGTTTATTACTGAATATTAGCTTAATTAGGTTTGGGAATTTTTTTTTGTTCAATATTGATTTAGACAGAATGTCTTATTAGCAATTATTAGCTCTAGAGGTTAGTATATGTAGTGTTTTATTGTAAAATAATCATAAAAACTTTTGTGAACAGCTTAAGCATAACACAGTAATTGTTACTTTAGACATCTTGTTGGGCTTTTAAACTCAGTAATTTCAACTCTAAAACAGTGATACAGATAATAAAAAAAGTGAATTTATTACAAAAGGCAGAACCAGTGTTTAGAATAATACATGGATATTTTCTTTGATATCTAAAAAATTGCAAATGCAAGTTATTAAGCTGATTTTTACTGAATAGCTTTCACATTCATGTGAAAATGAGTGTGTTTAATTATTTCAAAAGGAACAGAAATGTAAATACTTTACTGATATTTTTTTTATTAACAGGCATGACAAACATAAATAATACACTAATACTAATGACATGAACTTAAGTTCTTTTCAATTTATTGGTAATATTTGAACCTGTACACCTAAATCAAATTATTTTCATTAAAAGTAATCAGCATGTAGCTAACCAAAGACTGAATGAATAAAACTTCATGAGCTTCCTCTTTGAAAATAGGGAATTAATATTTTGGGAGGAAGGAAGTATAGATTCAACTATGTATAAATAAAAAAAAAGCCAAATTGAAAGTTTTAAATCAAACAATGTTTTTCCTCTTCTTTTTTTTTATTCTTATTATTATTAAATTATGAATACTTTTTCAGTCCAAGAGAACAAAGACCAGGACCAACTTGTTTAATATTAGCCCCAACCCGAGAACTAGCCCAACAGATTGAGAGAGAAGCCAAAAAGTACGAATATAAAGGTATCAAAAGGTGAGGATAAAGTTAATTATGTTTAGTCAGGATAACTCATCTCATTCTAGCTTCTCGTTGCAAGTGTTTATTGTCAGAATAAATGTATGTTTTTCATTTTTTCCTCAGTACCAAAATTGCAAACTGGCAGAAAAGAAATCATATCTTTTTTTTTGTATTTTCCATGCTACTGAGTTAGATTGGTCTCAGGGACAGTTCAAAATACCATACAAAATATTTACCACAACAGGCTTTAAAATGAGATGCTCAAATATGAGTGTTGCAAATCACAAGATGTTAATATTTTCAGTATTATTTGTAACATTATTGTATAAGTAGATTTTCCGTGTTTCAAAGCTTGTTCTTGGGATTTTTCAATCTACCTTGTTCATATCAAATCATCTGGATAACACAATTCATTTTTGACATGTTATTTATTAATTTTTTTCATAGTTGTGTACTAGATATTCTAGACTTTATAATTCTTTTAAAGTTTTGCCTGTGGCTATCGGTATTAATGTATATGTATAGTTGAATTTTTCTCATTTAGACATCTTCAAAGTAACTGGTAAAAATTGAGATTTTGTTACATTTTTATGGCTCTGAGTGGGTGTTCATCTTGTTGCATTTGCACATGTTATGTATTTTGATGTAATACTTGCATGAAAACAACAAAACCACTATAGGTTAATAAAAGTAATGTTAAATTCTCCAAATCAGTCACATAAGACTGTAGCAGACATACAGAAGAGTCGAGACAAGGAAGATACCTTTATAATGACTGTGTAGTTTACATTCAAATGTACTTTGATTGATGTAAGTATTGCACTAGAACACTTCTATGGATGATGTAAATTTTGCACAAGGCAGTGATTCCATAAAGTGTATTACTTCAAAGACTTTGTAAGTGCTGCATAGTGCTTCCATGCAATATCTTTCCTTACAATGTTCTTTAAATGATGTAAGTACACCACTCAAAGCAGTATTTTTGTGGATTTTCTAACCTCACAATTTCTGATAATCACATAATTCTTTCTGCATGGGCTTGGTCCCAGGGATCGAACGGAGACGTAACACTTTGTTAAATTCAAATGTGTGATCTGCAATTGTTCGTAGGAATGAAGGAATGTTAAAATACTTGGTTATGTCGCGAGTTTAAAGTTAATTGCTTTTAAAGTTAAATTTAATTCTCGGCTTGAGGACAAGCCTGAAACAGAAGAGGGGTAATGTGTATTATGCAGGCATAGTATATATTTTCTATCTTCTTTTAGTAATATATAGGAATTTAGAATTTTTTCATGTTGTCTAATTCTGTAAAGTTTTTGCATAAACATGTAGTTCAGAAAATCGTTAAATAGTTTTCATTCTTGGTAACTTTGTTTCTTTGTTATTCTGTAATAGATAATACCTACTTCATTCACGGATATATTGCTTCAATTTTGTTTATTGTTTAGAAAAGGTCAATGACAGCAATGTCCATCACTGGCAAAGTAGAAGATATCTAAAGGTTGCAGATTTTACTTTGTTATATGAGAACAACTAATGGGTAAATGCAGTATTTCATTTTAGTATAAATAATTGGATTCACATCAGTTACGCCAGGTTCCTAGCATGAGTTATTTGACAGGAAAATATCTCTAGAGATGAAAGCTGCTGACTGATTCACTGATCTTGTAGAAGGTTAGTGCCCAGCATTTACACAAGTATGCACACTGTATTCTTTGCTCTGCAGCAATAATGAAAATTGTTTTACTTTACAAGACGTGCCCAATCTGTTTATATTTTATTTTTTGCTTGAACTTAGCCATTTAGTTAATCTCAGATGTACTTCACAGTTTTCCTTACTTATTCTCCATTTATAAAATGGACCTATCTAATACTCATTAGTTTCACTTGAGAAAACCACAAAGGCACAGACACAATAACAATAACAAAAACAAGGGCAAATGTCTAATGGAGCATGTTTAGCAGATAATGTTAATATGCAAACTTTATTCAAAAGCTCTTATCAATTAGGTGTCCCCGCCCCTGCCCCGTGATTTAAACTAAAACATTAAACCCTACGTTAACATTAAGAAAAATAAAAGGTAAAATAAAGCTATGCTTACTTTCCAGCAAATAATACACCCTACAGTGAACTAAACAGAGTTCATCTACAGTTAAAGTTACCGTTAGCTCTCTCTAACCTCAACTAACGAACTCTCAAATTGTACAAGTAGGACTAAATCCAAGGTTAAACAAGAAGAGAAACTAAACATCGCACTTACTCATTTCACTAAACAAAAGAAAAAAGTCTAAAGTTATCTACGTTATAAAAGACCCAAAAGCTACAAAAAAATTAAAAGTTTTTTACAGGGACGGTCCTGGCTTTATATACAAAACTAGATGCAATTATAAAGCCCTGTTTGTCTTTCAACACATCTTGCATCCAAGATCTGTTTCCAGTGAGAGTTGAGCTCTAAGACGTGGCTGCTCCTGACCCTTATATGATTCAACAGCAGGAAAGATGAATTTTTATTTTTGGACATCACATACAAACTTCCGTGCAAAAAAGTCTGTTAACTGCTAGTTATCGAACCAAGAACTTATGTGCTCTCAAAACAGGGGAAGTTAAAGTGTTAGTTGAACAACTCTCTGCATCCAAACAGGAAGCTTTGAGACATACACCATCCTTTAAAAAAAAAGGCTATGTCTTAGCAAGTACATAACAACACCCTGTACTACAATGCTTAATGTCGTGGTGACTATGCTTCATGGCTGTGGATAGGGTTCGATTGGCGAAAATTATCTGCCCTTTATAGCTTATCTTTTGGAACCATTAAGGGCCCCCCCCAGATGCCAATATATGTGGCTCACTGTACAAAGTACTTCAGGAGGTCTCACACAGGTCATTATTGGCTTCATCCTCCATGACGACTTATCACCAGCATTTTTCAGCTTGGGTGATCTACATTATACTGACTGGTTTTGTCAGTTATTCTGGATGTATGACGTAGTTGTCTGTTACAAAGATGAGTAAAGAATGCTTTTTCACTTTGTTTTACATGGTGTTTAATATCTTTTCCTTCAGCTTAATAAGGTCAGAAATTCAGTTTTAACTGTGTAAAACGCTTATGTCCTATATCCATTAATGTGATGCTACTCTTACATGTAATAAATCAGAGTACTTGTGAACACCATACACAGTTTCAGATCTCAGTAAAGAGTTTTTTTTTAGTTTCCATTGGGTTTTAAATAGCTAAGATTTCTTATCTTAATTGTTCTACCATATGTTACAGCCAGTCATACTTTTCATTGTATTTTTTTTAAATAGAGTGATTGTCATTTCCTCTCTCCACACCGAGTGTTGTCACTGGTGAAAGTCACTATTAGGTCTTGAACCCTTGTTGTTATGGTCATCAGGTGAGTGTTTATTTCTTTAACTCCAAATCTTGGAATACCACAGTTGTATAAGAAACATTGAATTTGTAATGACCTTACACATACACGTATATATGAACATTGTGTTGGGTTTAATTGCATTTTACAATTATCGTGGGAGCGTTATAACTGCAACATTCAATTCTGTATCATAGTGCTCTCATTGGCGGGCTTCATAGGTGCCTTATAGTTGTGAACCAGAGGGCTCCTTGAGTTAAGTATGTCAAATAGCTTATAAAAACGTTCACTAAAGTTACAGATAAATTCACTGTCAACAAATTCTTCCACCTGTAATTCGTGCCAGCAGAAGCAAAGAGCATCAGCAACACTCGAATTTAGTGTCAGAGCAACAAATTAACCTTCATTTTCTTGATCTTCCATGCCATTTGAACTGAGCTGATCTTATTCCTAAGGTGTAGACCCTCTTCTTCTTGCAGTTTGTTGATGACTTCTAGATGCTGCTATCTCACCTTCTCATGAGACTCAATATGAGCAAAGGGTGTTACTAACCAGCTCCCAAATGTGGCAGTCATGACTTAATTTCATTTATTATTTTTATATGAAGCAAACTATATGACGTTACACGATACAAATATGCGAATTACATACATTTAATTAACTGATATGTAATTAACCTAAAATGAAAACTTATAAGCGAAAGCTTCTTGCCATATTCCTTGTTCGATATATTGTTGCATCCAAAAGCCGAACAATGATACATCTTGATCAAATTACTACAGAATAATAGACATGTAATAATATAACAATATAGCAAAATGGGCTTTATATGGGTGTGTTAAAGAAGGCCGTGGGCTTCGCTCTTGCCATAGCTAATAGTGCACAGCATGCGTTATGCATGTATACAGATCTGTGGTTTGGTGTTGAAGGCACAGAGGCATAAAAGACATCCACTACACACATTTGTGGTAAACATTTGTTAAAGTAGTTAAGTTATGTAATTATGAAGTACAGTTTTACCATAAATAAATGGTAATGTTTCTAGCTTTTCGGGGAAAAAATAAATAAGAGAAAGATAAACTTCACTAGATTAAAAAAAATAAAAAAATAAACTGGCTTATAGCAATAGGATGTATCATATAAACAGATAGTCAGTTTGTTTTTAACAGAATCATTGCTTAAACTTAAAAATTTAATCGAAAAGTGATAATTAATGAAAAACTATGATGTGACTTTCCCTTGAATTTTATTGTTCGTAAGTAAGTAAGATGGTGAATTTTTTAAACAGGGAATATATGATACCGACCTGTCCGGTTTGTGTTGTTTTTAGCTTTCGCTGAAACTTGTGAATGCAAGTGCTCAGCAGCCAAAGGTGCTTGTATTTAACGTGTTGAGGTTACGAAAGACGCTGTTTAAATCAATAGATGACAGTTTTTACCAGTTAAAACGTAATTAAAAGGTAATTAGAAATTTAAGGACAATAAGCCTTACAACTTGAAGATTAACAGTTATACTTATAACACAGTAAACTGTAAAGCTAATAGATTGTAGGGTGTATATATAATTATATTAAAATTATAGATATGTTAATAACAAATCAAAAGAGGTGAGTTAGGCCTCACTCGGAATACCGTGTACTAGCTGTACGAGTAGGGCTGAAAGTCAGTCCGAAGTAGAGTTGTGTACAGTTTTTATCTCCTTGTATACTTATATTGTTATAGTTATGGAAAGAATATTGATTTATTGGAAAGGATTCGGAGGAGGTGAGACAAAAGTGATCAGTTGGAGTGGAAGGGTTGTCGTACATGGATAAGTTAAGCCTTATTTTTAATTTTTCAGGTTATATTCACTAGGTTTTTTTTTCTGTTATATTTATTATACTATAGATCATTAGATGAGAGGTTGCAAGTTTAAGATTTTGGAAAAAAAAGATCGAATAGGTTGCAGTTAAGAAAGTTTTATTTTGCTAACAGGGTGATTGACTAAGTGGATGAGTTGCTGTGGTGGAAAAACATCACTTTACAGAAGTTTAAAGCTAAGAGGATTATCAGCAATTTTATGAAAATTAAATTTAAAGTGTAGGTCTAATATTTTTACTTATTGCAAGAGTGGATGTGCAAGGATAGCTTCAATGGGACAAATGGCCCCTTGTTGTCCATAGTTTAGAATATGTATGGTGTGACAGGACTTTCAAAGTTAATCATCAAGACAATTCTGGTTAAGATTTATTCATGCCTAAATATATGGTTTTCACAAAACTTTTCACCATTTTCAAAAGTAAGTTTGAAAAAGATGATGCATCAACATTATCAATTGCTTTAACTATCTTAAACAACTCATCAGATTTCTTTAAACTCTTCTTTTTTTTTCAAAAGAAAACAATATCACATACCATAACCTGTCCTAGTATGCCAACCTGTCCATATCAGGTATCATCTTAGTAGTTCTCCTCCGAATCTTTTCCAGCAATTCAGTATCCTTCCTAAAATAAGGAGCCCAAGACTGAACACAATACTCCAAATGTAACCTAACCAGTGATGTATACAATGAAAATATAATCTCTTCAGTCTTATATTCATTATTTCCTATCTAAAACTTAAAATCACTAGCAACAGCACTCTGCTCGGATATTGATCAGTGTCATGATACAAATTTAGCATGGTTTTAGCATTATTTGTTTTTTATTAGTGAATAAAAACTTAATACTGGGTCCATCTCATTAACCCAAAGGACTCAAAGGGTGGTGTTTTACAATAAAACAATATCTCTATGCATATCAATTTGCTTATTATTACCAAACTTTATTTCAATGAAAATAAATACTCCTGATTTTAATGTTTCCATTTTTTACTGGTATGTTATCACTGGCCAATTTCTGTTTTATGCATTGGCATTATAATGAGTGTAGAAAAATTATAATGTTAATTATAGCAGTATCAAAACAGTAATCCATGGAATTATATAAAATTTAAAGTACAGGTGTTCTTCACATATGGGCTATACATATTAAGCCATACATGTTAAGGAAAACTTTCTGTCTGTGGATGCATTACCTTCTAAATGAGTTGATCAATCCAAACCATACTTGGCATGCTAACTTAGTAGTCCAAAATCAAACCAAATTCGTATTAAACTTTCCTATATATTTAATATATATATATCATAGAATAACCCCTTTATTGTTACTGCAGTAGCTGTTGTAAATAGTTGAGCTTGACTAAAACTTGCATGACAACGAAATTCTGCAAGTCCACTTGTACATTTTGGCTTGTTTCCTATAATAACCAAAATATATGATACTAAAATATCCAGCTACAATGCGAAGAATAAAGATATTGCTGTTTTAAGTTTCCGACTCTTTTTTTTTTGATTCACATAATTTAATTTTTGGTTTATACTAGGGTTGGAATAAGCACTTAAGCCTGAATTAGAGAAGTATTTCATAATTAAACATTTTTTATATCTTGATATAGAACATAGTTTTCTGTAGAAGTAAGTTTCAAGATTATTATTGAATTTAATGCATTAAATGTACCGAGGTCAAGTAGTACAAATCTTGACCACATTTATATTGTGAAATGGGCTACTTTGAACAAAAAGTGATAAACTGCTCTGCCGTTTCTTGATTGTTACAATTACCAAAAGGGCAGAGCCGGATATGCAATTTACTGTTCAAAAAACTGTCAAGTTGCACATTTACCTTATTTTATATACAGCCAACCAGGAGCTATTTGGCCTTTAAAGGCTGTCTCTAAGTTCTTGTAAAATGATGGCATCTTAATCTATAAGCCAGTCACTCTGTTAAAAAATAAAACTGTTATAACTGGGACCTAGACTGTCTTTTCCAAAACTTCAACTTGTATTCTCTCATCACATTGTCTTTAGGAGAAATGTCTGATTATGGCTGGCTAGAATACCTCTGAAATATGTAGAGTTGTCCAGTGAGCCTGGTGTCATTGTAATAAACTATTGTGTGCACTTTAATACTTGGTGTTTTAGTCAATTTAACTTATTCACAAATACTGTCTTTTACCAACTTTTGATAGTTACCTCTTCTGACTTGTAATTATCAATATGTCTTATCAAAGTTTCTTTTCAGGCACATTGTACTACTATATTTAGAGTAACAAAACCAACATTTTTTGGCAAAATAAACGTTAAAATCATTATTATGAGTTATATCTGACTAGTGTATGCCTGAACAATATGGATTTATTATTTTCACAGAGTCAATTGATGTCACGGATACCTTCTGCAGGACTTGTTCAGTTTGATGAAGAGGCTTGGCAAGAGGATCTGCCTGTAAGAGAAGAATATGTTTATAATAGAAATGTAGAATTTGTGAATAGTGCTTGGTCTAGAGGCTCAACAACAGCAAGGTGAGAAATTATAAAAAAATTACACTTTGTGTTCTTTTCGTAACAAGTGTGTTTGGTATTTTAAAATTGATTTTAGGCTTTTAAAGTTATCCATTAGTTTGAATGTTTTTTTCTAATTGAAGCAGGCTCCCTACATACATCAAATTAAAATTAACTTAGTAATGAATATAACTAAGTTAATATATCATTCTTACTTTAAATGAATAGAATGCATTGTGGGATAAAATGCAAGATAAGTGATACAAATTCAAAACATCATTGAGCATTTGAGCATTATTGCCACTTTTGTCTGAAGCAACAGCTTTCTTGTCATTTGAGATTACAACCTGTAGATTTTATGTGGATGATGTTTCGAAACATGTAGAGTCGTCAACTTTTTGAAGGCCATAGATAGGCCTAAATAAAATGCTTTTTAACTGTGTACCAGTTTAACGTTGAATATTATTTATGATTTTAAGAAAGGTATTGGAAAAATCAGCAAAGTATAGCATTTATAGAATTGTACATAACTATAAAGATCTATTTTATTACTTTTCAGTACACAAAATTACTACAGAGAAAGAAGAGATGGAAGACCAAAGGGTTGTAGACGAGGAGATGGACGTGCAGATAGGGACAGTACTTGGCGAAACAGAGGTTCAGAGCATCAAGAAAATGCTGAAACTGTAATTGTTTCCTCAAAAGATGTTGGTAGAATTATTGGTAAGGTTTGTCCTTTCTTATAGGATGTAGGATGACTAAAATGTTAATCTTTCCTTTCATGAAGCAGTGAGTAAAAGTATGGAATAAAATTGTTACATGAAAGATAGTGAAACAGATGATGAAAAAGTAAGACATGTATAGATTAGATGGAAAAGTACACATTTTCAGCTTTTAAAAGTTAACTTGTAATATAGAAAGGTTAAGCAGTGAGTTGTAAAATATTTATCAAGTGTTTATTTCTGCTGTAGTGATATGAATTAAGATGAATTATTAATCTGTAATGTGTGATATAAGACAGTGAAATAGTGACTGGGAGATGTCACGAATAAACTAGTGTTGTGTGTAGGGGTAACTGAAGCATTCAGTTTGAATAACAAAAACAAGCGTGTATTACATGAATGGGAAACCATTGAGTTGAGAATTGTATATCTTGATGTGCTTACTTTATGTCATCCGACCTTTACACGGAAATGAAACGGGGGTGCATGTCAAACGTTTAACACAAATACAAAGAATAATAGGAAATATTCATGTGTTACTAAAAAAATGTAGTATATTATAAAATTGCTCACAGCAAGAAGTTCGGGTTTATTATCCCTTTCAAGATGGGTCACAGGTGAAAGGCCATGTCATCTCGTTTGTTCACTCACATTCAAAAATTTATTGAACTACTATTTCATGAATTTATGTTAGTAAGTTTGGTATCATACTGTAGATTATAATTCATATTTTAGTACTATGCATTACTTAATTTAAAAGTAAATATTAAAGAAACACAGATAAACATAGATTTTTGTGTGTCACATGGTATGTTGAATGCAGCACTGGTTCAAATTAGATGTTTGTGAAGTCAAAATACTAAGTGTTTAATTTCGTACGAATTAGTAACTCAAATTACCGATATTGACAAACTAGAATATAAATAAGAAGGTTTTATCTTTTCTATTTGCTAAGATATTTCTCATGTAATAAATCAAACTTAGTGGCACCCCACCTATCTCTTTCCATTTTTGGAAATGCTCCCTTATATACAGATATATAAAGGCCATTCCATTGTTACCTTATAGTAAGATTTATTTCAGATTATAGTAATGTCTAATTTTCAAGTACTTATTTGTTAATGTTGATTGATCAGCAATTCAAGTTGTTCCTCAAGAATTATAGATTGAAGATATTGAACCTGGGTACTTTTTATTAATTAAATTTCATTATACCATCAGTGGTATCTGAGAGATTCTTACCTTTCAAGTGCTTCTTGTATTAATATGTATCATTTATATTTAAGATGCCTACGAATATCTGACATTGTACTTTTTTATGCTTGCTTTCACATAAAGGCAACTAGTAAGGAAAATTCATTCAAAATACATCTTAGCATTAATTTGATTTCATTTTAATGAATGGAAATGCTACATGAACAGATCGAGTATTTTTGGGTAGCTATTTACTACAGTCATCACATACAGCTATTTCATTGTTTTTGAATGTTCAGAATTGATAGATAAATAGCATTTTGGACAAGTTGTGCCAGTTTTGCAGTCCTTTGAGGTACGGCACAGTGAACATCTTTTGCATGTTGTAGAAGTTGATATATTTGGCATAGTTGATGCTGTTTCTGTATTACACATCTTTGTAGAGCATCTATGATAAATATATTACTTGCATTTATAATAAAATTTTTTAACATCCGACAAACGTATGATACATATTGTGCATATTATGCTTCTTATGCATTTTTTTTCAAATCCTGTCTATAGTTTCAAGCTTTTATGTGTTTCAATTATATAACCATGTTAAATTCAATGAAAAGTTTCAGTTGAGGAATTGAAAAAGTATAATCCAACCAAACAAATGTCATCATCAGCTTTTAAGTCCATAATGTTTTAAGTCAATAATGAGAAGGGTGGGTCACAAATGCCCCATGATATTTAAAGGTTAAAGGTTAAACTGTAATTTTTTACGTTGTTCAAATTCTATTTGTTTAAAGCTGGATTTATGATGTTATCTTTTTTTCTTCTGTTTTTAAGGACGTGGAGGTTCCAAAATTCGAGAATTGGAAGAGCAAAGTGGTGCAAGAATTCAGATTCAGTCCAATGAAAATGGAGGAATTGAAACAAATGTTGTTTTGAGGGGACCTGGGCATGCTTGCAGCAAAGCAAAGAAAATGATTGAAGATCTACTTTACCAAAAGTTTCAGAGTGGACGTAGTGGTTGGTTTTTCTTGATGAATTAATTTGCTAAATTCTGTTCAGATGTCTCAAACTTCACTTAGTTAAAGAAAAAAACTTTAAATGAAAATTTTGTTTATTTTTAACAAGCAGTTTATTCAGTTTGGTTCTGTAGACTTGTGCTTTCATTGTTTGTTTGTGCTTCAGTAAAAGAGAAGTAGTCATAAATACTTCTAGCAGTATATTGAGCATTGCATCACTTCCTTCTTCTTGCTCATTGTCTGGTGATGGTTCATTCAGACAGTTCTACAGTGGTGGCACATATCAACCACCAAGGGGGCACCTAGTCTGAAGATCTATGTTTTCAGACATCACATTCACCTTATAGCATGTTATATGCTGGGTCATGACATTAGATACACTCGTTTTCAGGGACCTTTCCCATCGATGGGGTTTTCCCCAATTGGATGCCTTTGCCACAGGCCTCAGTACCAAGTTGCCACTTTTTGGCCACCTGTCCCTCTTCCACTTTCTCCTTCCCTTCTTCATCAACCTCAATTCCAAATTCTACATTCCAATTTGCATGTCCTGCGTCTTCATGCCTAGCTTTTGTCTGGTCATTGGAGAGATGATCCAGTTTCACATGTCGAGTTGCTCTCTTGTTAGCTAGTTCCATGCAGCCATCTTCCATGGAAGTACATCAGTGCAAGTGGAAAATCTTCCGCTGTTGATCTGCTAACAGGGAGTTTCCTGCTGACAAGCCTTTTGTGGCTCGTGTAGTGGAATTTTACCTGGTTCTTCAATCTCCTCACTTTCCAGATATCTGGCAGCCCTATCCCATACCTTCCATTTTTTGTTTCCTCTGTTCTTACCATGCTCATGCATTCATTTCAGATATGTTGACTCCTCCATGCCCTTACTTTACCTCCATTTGAACCACTTTCCTTATGCTCCTTGTTTCATATGTCCCTTAAAACATATTTCCTTCTTCCTTTAGCCTGGGGACATCAGTGGTTGGATTTGTTTGCCATTGATGCTTCACATACCCTTTATCACCCTAGCTAGCTTTCCTTTATCCTGATCATTCCTTTCTCCCTAAGACCTCAGCAGCTTGGGAGGGTTGTCCATGCTTTTCTCCTATTTCCCTTCTTTCTATATCCCATCTTTGCCCTCAACTGGGTTGGGATAGGCTTTTGTGTCTCCGGTCAGGGCCCTTCGTTGTTATGTAGCACATACTGCTACCTTTTGGGGTACACACAACCAACTTTTTATCCCATGATAATCCTCCTCCCTTCGTGATCTTTCACCTTCTACCCTTAACTAATTGGGTCCACCTTTTGGTTTGTTTGGCTTACTCTTCCCTACCTTCTTCTTCCTGTACATTGCACCAGCTTTCCTCCCATCAAATCCGACATCTCACTTTTCCCTTGCTTCTCGTCTTCGTCATCCAATGGAGGAGATTCTTCTTTTCTTTTTGTCAGTGTTTCGTCTACCACCTATGGCTGTTCTCCAGACTTCGGTGTGACTTTAACAAGTAAGTTTTCTCCAATTTTTTTCAGGGGCCTTTATCTCCCTTTTAATCACATGGATCCTGCTCTGGGGTGATTAGTACCTGACCAGGTATTCTTTAACTCTAAATCTGCACTGTAAAGTCATGTTGATTTGCGCATTATTTTCCATGACTTTGCATGCTCACCATCGAGACGGGGTGTTCCACAAGATCGTTTGATGGTGAATAATCTCATATTTTGCTTCATAGACATGCCTGTCCTGGATTGTACCACTCATGGACTGCATAGGTAAAGCAATAGGGATTACTGCTCATCCCTGCCTTGCCTCGAGTGAATAACTCAGTATGGTCTGCTTTTGAAAATAAGATTTCATGGTCACCCATTGTACTCTCTCAGGTAATGATGTTCCTCCAGAGTATAGGAGCTTTTACCACTTTCCAGTTCCAATCTGCTTGGATGGTTGACCATTTAGGCACCCTCCTGAATGAGTTCCAAAAAGAAAGGGCTAGAACCATTCAGTCGAGAGCAGGGTGATGGTGTTCTGCTGTTGTAGATGAGATGTGGACTCAAGAGGAGTTGAGCCATCACCTTGCTGCATGATGTTGCCTTCTAATAACATTTACATGCCAGAGTTGAGCCATCTCCTTCCTGGAAGATGTGGCCTTCTGATACCATTTACACAACCATGGGAGTTTAGCCATCACCTTACTGCATGACATGGCTTCCAGAGGAGTTGAGCCATCACCATACTGAATGACATGGCCTCCTGATACCAATTCCACACCCGTGGGAGTCGGCCCGTCAACTTACTGGATGACATAGCCTCCTGGACTTGAGCCGTCGAAATTGCAGTTCACCTCTTCAATTGGGAGGCCTCATCCTACCTTTGTGTGGATGTTGGTACCCTGCAAAGAGGTTTTGGATTAGAGTGAACCAATCACCATAAGTCCTCACATGAGTTCTGGTTATCTATCTTCCTCCCCCAATTACTCTGCTTGTGTTGTGGGTCATAAAGGTAATGTGTGGGATTGTTATGGTTCTATCTTTGACTATCCCTCGTTTTCTTCTTATGGGGATGTTATTGCTTTTGGATGGTGCCAGGCTGTGCCACGGTTGGGGGAGTTGATTCCATGCGATAGATATTCTTTCGATACCAGATGTCAATTCTCAGATAGATAAATCAGAGATGATCCTCATTACCTAGAAATCAGTGTGGGTCTTAATCCCCGATTCTTGGGTTTTAGGTGAAGACTGTATGATCCTCATCCTACCCTCGTGTGGATGTAGGTACCCCATGAGGAGGTTCTTGATGTAGTTGACTTACCGAGTATGGTCTGCCTCACCCTAGCCATTGTACACCTCTCAATTTCTGCCCTTATGTCTTGCATGTTCTACACATGGGCAAAGAGGATACCTGCCTCAGAAGTGGTGTGGTTCCCCTCTTCTGATCTTTGGATATATATCTCTCATTGTAAGTGATATCCTTCAGACACTTTCGGGGGAACTTCTTTCATTCCCTTGCACCAGTCCCTCCTCCTGCTCAATGTGGGATTCTAGCTAATCTCATTAGAAGAGGTAAGTACCGTATCGGAAGTTATAATTTTCCTATACCGAAAATGTATTTCCAATAGGTACTTACTTCCTCTCACATTTCCCACTACTCTGGTGCTCACACCTTCTGCCAAACTTTGAAGTGAAGGTTCATTAGAGAAGTGTAGAGGGAGTCACATGCATCATGCTTCTATTGGTTAAGAGATGATGCATGATGATTTACATGAGAGACATGTTGGAATATAGTAATTCCAATGGGGAGATGGAGGCTTGTGGCATGCATAAAGAAAAAGTTTGCATATAGAGGGCAGCACTTAACAAGAATAGCTAATTTCATGAGTAGAGGTAAGTACCTATTAGAAATACATTTTCAGTATAGGAAAATTATAACTTTATGTAGGTTATTAAAATTCAGTTGATAATGGTGTAGATTGTATAAAGCAAAACAATTTACTAGACAGGGATGAAAAATGTATCAGTAGGCTAATAAAATTAATTTAATAATGATGTAGCCTCATGTAGGCTGTACTTGGAGGTTATTAAAATTCAATTGATAATGATATGTCATAAATGGAGGCTAATAAAAATTTAGTTGATAGTGAGGTAGCCTCATGTATGCTGTACATGGAGGCTAAAAAATATTCAGTTGATAATGATGTAACCTCATGTGGGCTGTATATAGTGGCTAATAAAATTGTTGCTTGTGATAAGGTTATTGAGATCACCTATATTGTACAGAGTTCCTAATTGAAGTGACTAAGATTTATCTAACAATTATATAACTTGTTTATGGAGAAGCTATTAAGTTTAGACTTGTAAAAATGTGACTTTAGGTAAATACTTACTGATAAACAAATTGTGCTTGAGATTTGTTTTTTTGTTACAGAATCTCATCAGTCAAATAGACCAGAGTGTGCTTTTCAAGATGAAGAAGAAAAACATATTGACTGGGCTAGTATAATTTCTCAGAGTGAGGAATATCGGAAGAAGAAATGGAAAGGTATATTTTATTTAATACATGCATGCACATTACATATCTTGTAATACTGTGAAAGAATATCAACTCATGTTCTTAGGATAAACATAAATATTCAGTTAGTTATTTTACTTTGTATGAGGAATTTTAAAATAAGCCCCAAATACTTACCTTTCCCTTCAAACCTATTTCCTTCTACTCTTAGATTTGTTTGCCTTTGACATTTCAGTACACCTTATCACCCTACGTATCTTCTCCTTTATCCAGATCATTCCTTCCTCCCAGAGACCTCTGTGGCTCGGAAGGGTGTCTCCTCCCTTTTGCCTATTTTCCTTCTTTTCGTTTCTCATCTTTGCCCTTGACTGGATCCGGATAGGCTTCTGTGTCCAGTCAGGGCTCCTTTGTTGTTATATTGCCAATCCAGATTCCTTCCGTAGTACCCATTACTGACTCTTTATCCCCTGGCAGTCTTCCTCCCTTAGTGATCTTTCTCTTTCAACCCTTACTAAATGGGTCCAACTTTTGACCCAAAAGGCTTATTCCTTCCTGTCTTCTTTCTTCTGGAATTTGTGCCATGTGTCTTCTCATCACATTAGACACCTCTCCTTTTCCCTCACTTCTCGTCTTCATCATCCATTGGAGGAAATTCTACAATCAGGCATGTGGACCCTCCCCTAATATGTTCGTTTCCCATTAACTACATCATATCACGATTTCTTCTTCTGGGTTTTCGCCTTCCACCTGTGGCCATTCTTAAGACTTCAATGTTACTCTGACTGGTAAGTTTCTATTCATATTTTCTTTTCAGGAGCCTTTTCTTCATTCCTCATTATATTGATCCCGCTCTGTGGCGAGTGGTGCCTGACCAAGTATTCTCTAACTCAAAATCTGCACTGTCCAGCCAGGTTGACTCATGCTTTGGCTTCCATGGTTTTGCACGCTCATGGTTGAGATGGGGTGTTCTCCAAGATCACTTGTAGGCATATGATCTTATGATATTTTGCTTCATAAACATGGCCATCCCGGACCTTACCACCCATGAACTGCATGGGTAAAGCAGAAGGGGCTTGCTGCCCATCCCTGTCATGTCTCGGGCGATGACATTTGTCTGGCCATCCACCACATTTTCACCCTCCTTTCTTTGAGTGGAGTAAGGAATTCCTTACCACTTTCCAGTTCCAAGCTGCTGGGGTGGTTGACCATGGAGGCATCCTGCTGAATGAGTTCCACACAATAACTATTCTGTTACAGAGTAGGGCGGTGGTGTTCTGTGGGCATAGATGACGTGATATCCTCTTATTTGCAATACCCAGTGACAGTGGAGTAAAACATCATTGTGGGATTGAATTACAGTATATTTCTATGGTTAGGATGACTTTCCTGCCACCTTCTCTCCCACTCAGATGTGCTCCTCTCATTTCCTGCCCTTATACCTTACACATTCAACAATTGGGTGAATAGTATTCCTGGCTCAGAAGTGGTGTGGTTCTCCTCATCTGACCTTCGGATCTGACTCTCTAATTTTCAGGGGTATCCTTTGGACATTTTTGGGGGAGGTACTTCTATCATTCCCTCACACCAGTCCCTCCTTCTATTCAATGTGGGATTATAGCTAATTTTGTGAGCAAAAGTAAGTACCGTATTGGATGTTATAATTTTCCTATACTGAAAACGTATTTGCGATAGGTACTTACTTCCTCTCTTCCCCACTTTCCTCTGGTGCTTAAGTATTCTGGCAAACTTCAAAGTGATAGTTCAGTAGAGGAGTATAGAGGGAGTCACATGTGTCACGTGAGCATCTCATGCTCCTAATGGTGGAGAAGTGATGCATGATGATTTGCATGAAAGACACGTTGGAATTGTTCAGTTACAATAGGGGAGAGCAGAATAAAGAAAAAGTTCACATATAGAGAGCAGCACTGAATGAGAATAGCTAATTTTGTGAGAAGAGGTAAGTACCTATAGGAAATACATTTTCCTTATAGGAAAATTATTACTAAAACATATTAAAATTTAATTTATTCACATTTCAATGTCAAGTTTTTCATATACATTGATAATAAAGTAGACTAATTAAATTTTGAAATAAATTCACTCTCCATAGTGACATAATTATGAAGTCGGAATGTTTATTGCTGTTTAACCTTTGAAACAATGAGAGATAAAGTTCAAAATATTTATTGTTGATTAAAATTGTTTTACCTAGAGGTTTTTATATGGGTAAAGTTTTAAAATTTACTCTTTGATTTTCAGATTTGCCACCAATAAAAAAGAATTTTTATTTTGAAGACCCTGATGTTGCCTGTATGCATCCAGATGACGTAGCACTGTTAAGGTAAAGAATGTAACAATTGGAAGGTCTACATCAGTTTTGTTGGTGTCCAGCATGTTAGGAAAATCCAAACTTGCCTTTACAGCTACTCACTATATAAAAATACATAAAATTTATACTGTGCTGTTAAAATACATGTAATGGTGATGGTTAAACTTACTCCCACTACTTGACTTGTATCATCTACTTCTCTACCCTGATAAAGTATTCTATATTTATCTGACATAATTTTTAACATTTTGTTTTATTTGTACATTGATGGTGTGAAGGATATTTTTGATATTGTTGTGTACAGGTTTGGTCAATTGGACTGGGCCTGTATTGAAGAATTAATATTTACTATAATTATGAATTTACTCCGAGTATCTTCATGAAATATAGTAAACTTTTAGTTATACATGTTATACATAAAAAAAAAATCATATTTTAAATTTCATCTTGCAGTTTCATATTTCATTTGCATAACCTCTAGAACTTCCTAAATGAATATCATAATTTTTTTCAGTAAAACATTATACTTTTATCTTTTATTTTCTCTATCATAACACTAAACATAGCAAAATTAATTGGAAAGAAAGTTGAAAAATGTGAAATATAATCAAAAATAACTTTTTTTGAACTAGTGACTGCAAATTGTAACAGACAACTACAGTTATTTATCTTAAAATCTTTAAACCTCATAACTTTCCACAACTCCTTTCATTTGATTTTATTGTTTTATTGCTTTTTCAACTGTGTCTAACAACCACAAAAAAAGCAATAAATCACCTGTGGAGTGCAGAGAGTATAGTATGATAAACAGAGTTTAAGGCTACATTACACAATGCCTAACTAATATGTTTTCTTGTAGGTGCTTTCTGATGTGATCAGGAAAAAAAGTTTTTATATAAATATTTTCTATACAAGTTTTCTTGTGTAGCCTAATAAGTTTTAATATTTATATTTCGGCTACTTTTGTTTAAAAATATCAGTAAACAAAAAAAACACAAATAAAAACAAGAAATTCAATTACCTTTGCATATAAGCTTGTTTGTACTCCAGATTGTACATTGCTAAAACTATTATTTTTTGCACTATATTAATTGTCAAAAAAATAATTTGTGTAGCTTTTGCTACTGGCATCTTTTTCTGTGCATTTCCTGAGATTTTAGTAAGTTGCATTCAAAATTTAAGTAAACTACTTTTTTATCGTGGTATGTGAATAAATTTTTAATAAAAAGATAGCTAATAATCCAACTTTTAATAAGAAAAAAGTTTTAAGTTCTTAATTTCATATAGCAATATTATAATTCTGAATTTCCATAGTATGAGAATTGTAACATTTTTCTCTTGGAATCCCCTCTTCTCTAATTTATTTACCTCCACTCCGAGAAGTCTGGAATTTAATGTAAATTACTCATTATAATATTGTTGTTATTCTGGCAAAGCATAATTTTTATAGCTTTCAATCTTGTATGGTTACAGAGCCATAAAATGGAAAATCAGACCCTTCTTGCCATGCCTATCTATCACATCCTCTCTTTCAGAAATTGCCGATAGTTCTGTCTGATGTTTAATACTATATTATTTCTAACTAATAGAAAGCCAAGGTTTTAATCTATCAAACGATATGTTGTTTTATATACAGAGTAATGTCTATTTCACTTCCAGTTCAAACTGGAAACACGTTGACAAGCTTAGCTGAGTTTTTAACAGATCTTGTTGAATAGTTATAAAGCCAGAAAAATTGTGGTAATTATGGGACATTGTCTGCTTTTAGCATGTGATTATTCTGTGTTGTTTGGTGCATTATTTAATCTGCTTTGGGAAGTGGTACCTTTTACCAAATTAATTAACACAAAGTTGACATTATCACATAGTTCACAAAATGACCTTTCTGTTGGTTATAAATGTACTATTTACAACTAAGCATGACCACATAAGTGATTTCAAAGACATGAAGAGTTGGGAGGAGCTTCTGTTGTCGATGTAACAAATTTATTCATACCTCAGACTAAAATGTACTTGGAATAACTATCCTCAAGTTGAGAAAAAAATCCACTAAGTAACAGAGAATTATAATTAATGTAGAAAGTGTTTATAATTGTGTTGTATTGAACTGTAAAACAAAAACAAAATTAATATTTCTTGAAAGAGGAGGAAATACTAGGTGCATGGAGTAACTTTACTTAAGAGACTTAAGAATCTTCATTTATTAAGTTTGCTTTCTCTTATTACAACATTTTTATTTCTCTTTTCCCTAAATTTGAGTTGTAATTTTAAATAAAGAGGTTGAGGCATTATATCTAGTCTTAGTTTCTCTTAGAAATATGTCAGTTTGAGATGCATAGTATTAGGATAAACATGGTTTCTAATAACAACTTATTCAGTTTCACATTTGATTTACTAAGTCACATGTTTGTTAACAAGATTTTTAAACAGAAAAGTTGATAGTTTGAAATTTCAATCTTTTAGAAACTCACTATATGAACTGGCTTAAATCATGACTTTCAAAAGTAAAAACTGATGCACTATGGAGAACAGGGAGCATTAAGTTTCTCCTAATTTGTGCATTAAAAAATTATAAGAACATTCTAGGTATTCAGTAATTAGTAATTTAAAGGTACAATGACAAAATGGCATATCCACTCAAAGAAAAACATGATTGCAAGTTTTTGTCAGTAATTTTCATTTATAATTGAAAATAACTTCAGAAAATTATGTTTTGTTATAACCAGATTATTACTTTACAGTGGATTTGTTTAAATCTCTTCTGTTTTGTCATCTTTATGATTTTATACATTAATTTATTGGGAGTCACTAGTCTGTAATATGTAGTTAGCTAAACCTTAGCAATGCTTTCCATCAGGACTGGACGGGATTACACTTGTGTGCCTTTCCTCCTGTTCGTCTTTTACCCAGAGTTATGTCTATGATTTGTTCCACTCCATGTCAGGTTTTCTTGACAGCACCCTTTTGGCCCACTCAGACACTATTTCCTTATCTTCAGTTGCTCCACGAATGTCCACCACTACCTCTGCTTGTTTTTGTTAAGACAACCTTGGTCCAACATTCAACTCCCGGACGTTCAACTCATGCATGGAAGTTATGAATCCTTTGCCTGACATAGGGGTTTAATTTCTAAAGTTTTGTTATTCTACATATAGGACGGTTTTTGACTCTCCTGTGCTATCTCATCTTAAGATCCTTTCATATACTTCGATCCAAATGACCTTTTCAATTGCCTTCAGAAGTTGATTCCTACAGCCTATATGGGGTTATCTGTTGTAGAAATATTCTCCATGTCGTTTCTCACGAGATTTGGCATCTGTCAATGTCATGAACTTCTCCCGACACTTCACTTTCCTATCTCATTACCTTCATTATCTGGCAGATTCCTCTCTCATGGGATATTGCCCCCCCCCTCCTGTGTTGACTGCCTCTGCCAGATTTTATCAAGGAGGTATGTAAGTTTTTTACAAGATTAACAGTTTTTCATCTAAGGTCCCTCTTTATTTCTTTTGGATCCCACTCATGGACTATCATGAGTAAAGTTAAAGGGGATTTTGCCAGTTCCTGCTGATCTTCAAGTTGAATCAGTCGAGATTGGTTTGCTTTTAAAACTTAGGTAACGTGGTTCACCTGTTGTACTGTCTCAGGAGACCTGTTCCTCGGACTCCCCACTGCACACGCCCCATCCCCCCATTCATTCTACTAATGGAGCTAGGGAATTCTTACCACACCAACTTCCCAGTTGCTGGGGTGTTGGACAGAGGATTTTCCTTCGGAATGTTGAGTTTTCTCCACTCTTGGAAAAGAGGGCGAAGTTGTGGACCCTCCTACTTGGGGTCCCTGGAAGTTTTTCTCAGATGTTGGTAGGAGCAGGACGAACCTATGTGGGAGCCTACTCATAAAACCAGTTCAGGTTTCACGCTTAGCTATCCAGTGGGGGGTGTGTGCTTTGACCCTTTTATTAACACTGTCAGGTCTTAGGTTGTTCATACAGGGGGTCCACTATCTCCTCGTAAATCCTTGGTGGAACAGTGTTCCACGTCCTCTCCATAATTCCATGGGTAAGTGGAATTCTCCTTGCCCATTTGGTTGGGGAGTGAAGATGACTGTTCATAAATCCAGACCAGATGAATTCTGGACCTTTGGTTGAGTATGGCATATATGATCCCATCAATCCAAGCCTGGGATGTTGTCTTTTGAACTTCTTCAGGTTGATCACAAGGATTGTCCACTTTGGTGTTGCTTTCTTTCTTTCCTAAATCCGGTAGTTTGAAACTCATCATTCTGTGGCTGCTGGTGGGAATCCTATCATAGTTAATTTTCCGTAAATTCGTTCCGACGAAACTTTAGTGACACAAGTCCTTTCTTAAATAAAACTGGTTTATTCTTTCCGAATATAACTTTGCAATACACTTAATTTCAACAGTCGCGCTATAATTCTCAACGAACGTCTCATGCTCGACTTCAACAATACTCAGTTCAATTGCACACTCTCTGACTGCAGTTCAATTACTCATCTTCCCGTCACGTTGTGACCGTCTTATATACCAGACTACCCACAATGTAATAGTCTCCCGATAATTCATGAAGTTTCGAGAAGGACGTGGCGTGATACTAGTCACGTGACCTCGCTGACGCAACAATATATATTATTCATACCTTCGGTGTATAGGACGCAAGCAGATTTTGACATCAAATTTTGGGGTAAAAAAGTGTGTCTTATACACCGAAAAATATGGTATATATATATAGGCCTCTTTGCTATTGTTGATTATGTCGTCTTCTATTGCCATTTACCACTGTATATTCTGACTGGCTCACCACTGTCAGGTTTCTTAAGGCTGGCTTCTTTACAGTAGGTGTCGTTGTTGTTGTTTGTTTATAGTTGAAATGTATCACCAACAAGTCACATACACTTACTATCAACAATTTATTAAATTCAGTGGTCCAAAAATATTAAAGAGTGCAAAATAAGTATTCCCTCTAATGCGACAATTTTGCTGCCATTCAGTTCAAATTATTCAAATTTCTTTATAAAACACAAAACCTGACAATTTTGAGATCTCATTCAAGAAAGTGAATGATAGGAAGCTTAACATCTGTTAGTATTGTTGCGTCAGCGAGATCGCGTGACTATTTTGACGCCACCTATTTTCTAGAAGTATCTTGTTCCTTCGTCAATGCCCTAGCATTTACTAGATATATATTTGTCTGGTATATATACTGTTACGTCTCCGTGTG